GATCGTCGTTGTTGTATTATGCCAGTCATCCATAGCAGGAGAAAGCGAGTTGGCAGGGATTTCCGCCGCCGCTGGAGAACTGAAAAAGGAAGCTCTGCGGCGGCGTTTTCGGAGGAAGAGGAGAAGAAAGAGAAGGAAGAGGATGAGGAGGATGCAGCCGACTGTGGCACCGACGATAGCTCCGATTGGAGGTGACGATTTAGTCGAAGCCGAGGGAGGGGTGATTGAGGGCCTGGGTGAGGATATCGTGCCTGTGGATGAGCTTGATTGAGAGGCGGAAGACACAGATACCGCTCCCCCGGTCCTACATCAGCGAAATTCAGTAATTGTTTTCCTCCGATGCACAAACCGACGTACGTGAACTCGATCCCGTCAAAGTTTATCACGCTGGTATCCTGCCTGTCGTTGTTGATGTTCGTCACCTTCAGCTCATGCGGGCCGTCATTTAAAGTAGTGTTCGAGTAGCCCACGATACTCCGCGAGGCTGCGCCAGAGGCGCCACCGAATTGAATGTAATCGCCGACTTTGACGTTGTCAAGGAGGATCTCGCATTTGACGTCGTCTTGATTGGCAAAGTACACGTAGACGGAGTGACCTTGAATGTTTTTAAATACCCAATAGCTCCAGTTTCACAGAAAGTGTATGAAAATTGGCAACGCACCGCTGAACGGCACCGTAATAGTCCCCCAGAAAACCGTCATCGTCCCATTCTGCAGTTTGCTGAAGTCGAATACATTGGACGCCTGTCCCGCTATGCGACATGTGTTGTCTTTGAAGGGAAGAATCTGCTCCTCCGAAGGACAGCTAACGAAAACGCCGCTGAGGTCGTTGGCGGTGTTGTTGTATTGCACGAGAGGGCTGGTGTCGTCGATGGTGTGGTTGGTTGGTGCGGAAGTGGAAGAGGGAGAGGACATCAAGCCCTCTAGTTATACGGGACCCAGTGAGAAGGGGAGAATCGAAGGGGCGCCCGGTGAAGGAGAAAAGAAGAAAGGCGTGGGAGGACGAGTTTCGAGTCCCATCTGTCAATCAAGCTGGGCGCCTATCGTCAGTCCAATTCCCGCTGAAACTTGAGGCTTGAACCGCCTTAGCTCGTGAATACTTTTTGCTGTGCATAGGAAACCCTCGTGAAAATTGGGGAAACAAATCGAACAGGGCTGGGAACGAGCTTGTGTTTGGCGCAATTTCGAAGCCAACGTCGAGGGACCGAGAGACTGTGAGTGAGCTTAAGTGACTTAACCCTGGTCGTAGCTTAGGACTTTGAGAATGAGAAGGAGTAAAGTTTGAGCGCTGGAGGTCCGAGGAAAGGTCCAACTCACCTCAAGAGTCAAGAGTCAAGCTTGACTCAACCAACGGGGAGCGCGGGAATCCATCTTCCCTTGAGTGCCCTTCAATGCTTGACCAACCCCCCATCGTATCCGGTGCCGGTAGGTCCCATTCGCCCGCAGATGCTCGAAGTCGGACCAGTAAACATGGAGGTTTGGGACAAGAAATGGTGTCACACGGTGTTGATCAATTGATTGGCTACCGCTGCCGAGCGCCGGCAAGGTGGCTTTGCTCTTGACCACCACCTGTTATCCAGCACGCTCGCTCTTCTCTGGATCTATCGGCCTATTCTAGTCCCTGTAGTCCTCGAACTTCATCCCACTTTGACTTCCGTGTCCCGAGAACTCAATCTTGCGATGTCGCTGGCAGTGTGCGTTGGCGGCACGACCTTTCATCAGAAATAGACGCCCTTCGCTGTGATACATCACCTGCGTCTCGCCGATGGAAGCTTCCGTGCCGTGGGCCTTTCGACCCTTTTCATTGAAGCATCAAGCCACATCCCGCGCCACCTTCCCATTGGCCGTCAATTCTTGGAACGAAAGTTGAAGAAGGCGACATGCGAAGTTTTTCTCTGTTCTTCTGACGGCGCTGGATTCCATCTCCCCTGTACATCAGATTCAACATCGCCCGTTCAACACGAAGAAAGATTGTTCCCAAGCATGCGGTGATGTCTGTTCTCATACATATCGAACCTCGATCGGATGCCTCTTGTTCCCTCGCCTCCTTTCCCTTCCTCCGTAGAGATATGCTACTACTAACCTCGCTCCCCATTCTCATTGCATGTGCCATTTGCGTCGGGACTTATCTTGTTTTCTTCCGTCGTCATGCAAGACGGGCCACTCACAGTCTCCCACCCGGCCCTCGTCCCCTTCCCATCGTCGGCAATCTCTTCGACATGCCAAGGGCCAGGGTATGGGAAACGTTTCTCCAGTGGAAAGAGCTCTACGGTGCGTTTCCTCGTCTCCATCTCAACCCATACCTCGTAGTTGAATTCTGAACGTTATTCACTGCCAGGCGACGTCGTGTACCTCAACGTCCTCGGGCGTCACATCGTCTTCCTCAACTCCGTCAAAGCCACCACCGAACTCTTAGAAAAACGCGGCACGCTGTATTCGGATCGGCCGCAATTCCCGCTCATCAATCTGTGTGTCTCCTCCTCTCTTCGCTCCTCTATTCAACTCTTTACTGAGAATACCCCTCCCAGAGCCGGCCACCAATGGAACTTCGGCTTCATGCCCTACGGCAAAGAATGGCAATCCCTCCACCGCACGTTTAGCAGCCAATACAACTCCGCTGTTGCCCTGCGCTCGTTTTACGACGCCCATAGAGCTTCGGTCTCGACGTTTCTCGTGAATGTGCTTAATGAGCCTAAGGAGGTGGCTAATCATCTGCGTCTGTGAGTACTCTCACTCATCACTCCCTTTGACTCCGTCTCCATAACGATCTGTGGCATTGGATTCGGAGTCGAATTTCGAACGCGATTTACTTATTGCACTTAACACGCAGCCGCTCCGCACAAGTAATGTTCCACGTCAACTACGGCATCTCCGTCACCTCCTGGGACCACCCACTCGTCCGCAACGCTGAGCGTGTGATGGAGGTCGTTTCGATTGCGCTTAGCCCGAGTATGTGGATTGTCAATCCTATTTCGTTTTGTGAGTGCGCATTCAATCATTGATTTGTATTCGAAATGTATAATTCCCGTGATTTGGCAGTGAACGCCATCCCGCGCTGGCTGGGCGGTGCCGTCGCGTCCATGGTGGATAAATGGCAGGCAGATGTGAGGGATTTGAGGTATGAGGCGTTTGCGCAGGTGAAGGAGTCAGTGGTGAGTCTAAATATTTCTTCTTTGACTTGATAACTACGATCTCATTCATAGGAGGACGGAACCGCCCAGTCTTCGTTCACTGCGAACCTACTTCGCGAGCCCGCCGATGAAGATGTTGTTGTAGATAACGATAAGAATGCTATTGAGAAAGAGAAGGACAAGGAAAGGTTGATCCGCGATACTGCTGCGATTGCTTTGGGAGGTATGTCTACCACCCTCTCGTCTCAATGTTCTGCACAAAATTGACGGGTCTATTTCATTTCAGCTGCATACGAGACTGTTAGTCTTCTCCTCCACATATTCTACCTCTTTCACTCATTCGAAAATCACCAACACAGACCTTCGTCGCATCCGAAGTCTTCCTCCTCATGATGGCTCTCCACCCCACCATCCAACTCGCCGCGCAAATCGAAATCGACTCTGTCCTCGGAGGCACCCACCGCCTCCCCGACTTCAGCGACCGCGAACGACTGCCGTACATCACCGCTGTGATGAAAGAGTGTCTGCGCTTTCATTCGCCCGCGCCGACAGGGATCCCGCATGAGCTTGCGCAGGATGATGTGTATGAGGGGATGTGGCTGCCTAAGGGATGTATGGTTATGGGGAATATTTGGTGCGGCTTTTGAATTATTCCATTTCGATTGGTTGTTTTGGCTGATTTTATGGCGTGACAACAAGGCAACTTCTGCACGACCCTGAGATGTATCCCGACCCGTTCACGTTCAATCCCGGGCGGTTCATTGATGAGGAGGGGAAATTGGATTGTACGAGGAATGATCCGAGTCGGTTCGCATTTGGGTTTGGTAGACGGTACGTTTCCTCTAGTTCTGTATTGGATTGAAATTGAATTCCAACTCACCAACTTGGTGTCAACCCCAGCGGCTGTCCTGGACGACTCTTCACGGAAGATTCCCTGTGGCTGATGACTGCGCAGTTTTTGGCTGCGTTTACGATCTCTCTGGCGGATGGTGCATCAAGGGAAGCGAGGTTTGCTCCCGGGGCTATTTCGTGAGTGGCCGTCCTTTTGAACTTGCTTGTACGGGGCTGATGGATTGCGATTTAATATTAGTCGCCCGTTGCCCTTCGACCATATCATCAAGCCGAGATCGCTCGCCGCGGGGAGTCTCATAGAGCACCTCCAGGATGCGGCTTAGATTCGGCAACTTGAAAAGAAAAGGTTTTGTGTAAATTTTAGATGAAGATTGTCAATGGTGTTCGGTTTTCTCAACCGTGTGGGAATGCATATTTGGATTGCGGACAACCTGTCGTTTTTAAATTTGTGGATGTGCGGTTAAGGTTCTACGCGCGTGGTGAGGCGGCACCTCGTCAAAGTGGCGGGAAGTCAATCAGGTTCTTTGTATCATCTTGTGCGCGGGGAATTCAAACGGTTGCTTCGGTTCCCACCGAGGTAATGTTCGATCAGGGGATATGTGTTCGATTCCACGCATGGAATCTACGTCGGTCCGTCATATTCAGACTGCCACCCTACACATCCAGCTTGTCTGATGTGTGGGAGGAGCTAATAGTTAAGTATGAGGACTGTGCGGCCGACCAAGATGTGATATAGAACTTAAGGCGTCGAATTTGGTTGAGGAAATATCGAGGAAAGACTCCGAAATATATATAGAGATTGGCTGACATCGGGTTTATTGGGGATTGGGACGGGCTGCAATACAGTCGGTTTTGAAAATCGAGGAGAAGAAAGGATGGCCGAGGGACAATACGTACGACCTTTTGCGCTGCTGGGATTTAGAGACTCGGCGTGGACAGAGGACAATTTCGGTGGGGACGGATGGAGTGCAACAGGTCATCCCGGAGTCGTAGGCTCTTCTGTACTGCCCATTACCACGGGCACATGGTGTAGTTGGTTATCACGCTCGCTTAGCAGATGCAGAATCTGGACTGCGAGAGGTGTTGGGTTCAATTCCCAATGTGTCCATTTTTGCACCTTAAGGCTTATTTAACCTTCATCAGCCCCTTTTAACAACGGTCCCCGACCTTGGTTGGCGACCATCAGTCGAAATCAGCAAAATCCCATAAACTCGCCAATGGAGCCATGAGAAAATATTATTTTGCTCTACATCATGGGTAGATCAGATGTATACATTGTAGACTCCCAGCATACCAATTTTCAGACTTCTAAGTGAACGGGAAGGATGAGAAGAAAGGTTGAACATCCCTGATGGAAGTTCAACCAGTTTTGATGGTAACAATGATGGCACTGTGTTGGTCCTACTTTGGTCCTACTTCAACGGTGAGCCTGAGGCTGGTTATAAGCTCCAGAGAGCCTTTTCATTGACCGAAACTTTGCTGCGATACGAGTCACCTATTTGTCCTTGTCCTAGGCTTCGAGATGGGAGATGTTCAAGTTTGAGTTCAAATTTCTTTGCGTTTCGACTTGTCGAGCATTCGGATTTGACATATCTGGGCTGCAAAATCCGAGACCGAAGTGCTCTCACCGGGTCTTGTGGTTTATCCCTTGTTTTTGTTTCATCCCTCGAACACGAAAAATCACGTCACGTGGAAATTGCGTGACCGTGAAAGAATTGTCGTTACATATCGTGACAGCGTGACTGAGCCTCTCTCTCATCGTCCACCACTGCTGACTACGCGACGCTCCTACTGACCCGACCGCTCACTATCCATGGAAGGAAAAGACATACTTATCCTATCTCAATGGTGACCTTTTCATCAACGCTGCAATAAACCTGGGAGCTCATGTCGTGATTGTCGATGGCTTTGTTTTTCTTTCTTAATTTGCCACTCCTACCCGAAGCCTTGTACAAACAGACGCGTTTCTGCTCGATGGATAACTGCTTCAATGTTGAGAATTTGAAAGCATGCTCTCGGTGCAAGTGAGCGCCAAATTCTCTCATGCCACTCAGGCGCATCAAATATGAAAACTGGTGTTGTCCGCGGTATAAACGAGAATCGAAAATGAAAACGCGGCTAGCTGATATGTATCAGTCGGCCTGCGAGGCCATCAACTCCATCAATCCCGATATTCAGAAACGAAAATGACCGGTATCAACACGGCAAAGCAGCCGTGATTGATGTTACAGTCACATATGTCCGGCCTGATGATCAAGTTATCAGCCGTATCTCGGGGATGTCCGAGTGGCTGTACTAGGTCACCTTACACACAAAATCCACCGCCGATTTGCCATCCTCATATTAGGGACCCGGTGTATAGTGTAGATAGATTGTTTCGGTACCAATAGTCAATGTTCACTAGGTTGTAAGTTGCGGAAGTGCCCCAGCAAGGAAATTTATGCTTGCTCAAGGCATGCCGCAAATCAATAGTTACAAAGTGAATCATTTGTGCGTTAACATGCAAAGCATTATTTCAGGGAAGCCTGGAGTTGGTATACAGCCTTCGATGTGCTCAATACCACTGCTCTCTGACTTTCAGCAGAATCCATCATCAGATTTTTGAGAAAGACCTGCTTTTTGAACCGGGTGCCCAATTAGGAAGGAGCTTCTCGTTTCTTTGTAGTTTGCGGGGCAATACTGATTCAGGGAAGCTTAAAGTCAGATATACTATTGAGATAGGGTGAAGCTAAGCATCCAAAAAGAATTGGGCCCATTCATCATCAGAATATTTAGAAGGACACCGAAATGCAAGGAGAGTTCAACATGGTCATGTGCCTTGTTTCTGTCTCAATCTTTCGTGTCAATCGTCGGATTGCTGCATATTTGCTGCTTGGTGGAATTATTGAATGCTTTTTGTATATCTATAGCCCGCCAAATGTGTTATTGCGCTAAAATTCTACTGATACTGAGTTCTGATAACCTGAAGGTCCCGAACACTCTGTCAACTTCAATCCTTACACCGTATGAAAGCAAAATTATATTCGGAGCAACGCTTTAATGTAGTCTACTGGAACGAAAGCATGCCGGATTAGTTGTATTCATCATCGATACCTGGCATTGGATGGTCGCGTGCTATCTTCTTGAACATCGGACTCATGATGTCCGAGTTGAGCGCCGCAGCGTAGTCAAAGTCGTCGGAATCGGAGTCAGCTAGTTCCTGGGTGTTTGATGGAGGTGACTGGAACAGACTGTCGACATCGATGATCGAATTGTAGGGCGAGGGGGCTGTAAATAGAATCAACATTAATTCTTGGATCGCAATAATCACGCAGGCTTACGAAGTTGTGATGAACTAGCAACAGGCTGCAATTTCTTCGGAGTCGATGGAGTAGCTGAAAAGCTTGCCTGGCTGAGCATCGCAATTTGCTTTCGCAGGGTCTCATTTTCCTGTTGTGTGGCTTCGAGATTATTTCGGAGTTTCCTGCTTTCCTTGACTGTGAGGAGCTCCGCATCAGCGATGCGCTTCTTCTCAGAAGCGCGAGCCTTTCGCTGCGCTTGGCTCTTCATCCGGCTTTGAAGCGAGTTGTTGGGGTTCTGTAGCACTCCCCAGGATATCATCTCTTGAATAATCCGTGCATTTTGCGCATCTTGTTCCTTCGCGCTACACCGACTTCAGCTGTATAGAAGACAACAAAGACGGTATCTCACAATAATATTGCCTCCAAGATTGGACGATTCGTAGGCTTAATTTGGTTGTCTTCAGCGTGACTCCCTTCGATTGGGTTTGTATCGTTGGGAGTTAGATCCCAGTGGCGCTTGTTCATGTGCGAGAGGTAGCGGTTGAGGGATACAAGCAGCCAAGGATAGCTAACTTTATGCGCCCACCATGCTAATTGATTCGTTAGTATCCGGTTTGATTCTAGACGGCAAAGACAGCAAACTCGCCTCGAAGTTTAGGATTTGTTGAGTCGGCGCAAAATGAATAGTACTGTTGAATGTCTTCATCGGAAGCCAGATAAGGAAAGCTGAGCAAGTATTGAAGAATTGTATCGCTAATGTGATCCCGAAGACCAAGGACACCACTAGAGCTTACTTGAGACAAAGAACAAATGGAATGGGATGTGCATACCGCGTAAAATGCACAAGACAAGTCTTCCAAATCAACATCAGGATGTTATCGAAGTGCATACCCGGGCTGTCACGATTCATCTGGCGGAGAATGATTACGTCTGCCAATCCCTGTGCTTGTGCACCCTCGGAATCGCCAATCGCACCAAGAAGGTTCGAAGAAGGCGAGAAGGCCTTGAAGTTTAGTTTTTTACCGGTAATTGCCTCGATCGAGTCAAAGATACCGCCCCATACAAGGACGAAGGCGTCCCGAGTGGCTCGATTGCTCCAGATTCGACCAATGACTGTACCTATGAGAAGATTAGAGGCCAACAAACGAGACGACAAGAAGGACCCTGACGCTTATCAACTTTGTTCAGCCAAACCAAGAGCTTCCATTCATTCGTTTTGCCGTGCACTACCGCAAAGGTAGTATCCACCATGATCCACATTGCTTCCAGCACCAATGGCGCAAGCTGGGGATTAATGGTAACAATGACATGACCGTCATCAGGTTGAGCACTGAATGAATGGATGTATCGTTTTGAGATGTCGAGAGCACGATCTTTGTTGAACTCGTAAAATACCCCTGTAAATCATCGTAGATAATCCGGGGAAGAGAAAGTTGCTTTGGCTCACCTTGAATACCAGTACCATGCGGAAATTGGTTTTGACGCTGATCTCGAACCAAGTCGGCGCGCTTTCGATTAATCATCATCCCAGGATGAAGCTCCTGAACGAGTGTCCCCTCGAGATCCTGTTCTACTGCCGCAGCTTGGGGGGTATTAGTCACCGTAGAAGTAAAGAATATATAATCGTACATTTATCAACTCCGAGTCTCGTGCGACGAGACAGAGGAACCTTCTCAGCCAAGCGCGTATATCGTTGTTGAATTGTGATCGGAATCTTGGTTCGAGGGAAGCTGGGATGACGATGGGGAACTCCAGGTAGAGGGATAATAACAATACGCAAATCTGTTGGATCTACGGGAATAAACAGCGAGAGCTGGGCGTAGCATTCGTGCTTATCCAGATCAGCGATTGCGTGAACACCGTTCTGGTAATGATTCCGGGCTGAAAGCAATGTCAAAACTATGGAAGTAAACGAAGAATCTTCGACGTACGACAGTGGCTACCTTTCGGAATATGGGATGGATGAATGATTTGCTTGCATTCCCCGAAGAGAACGTCCGTGTCATCGTCCTCCTCATCCAACGGCTCGTTCCGGAATAATTTCAAGACGATGGACTCACGAACTCCTTTCGGGATGGCAGTGAACCGGTGAGACGTTACCATGTTCGAAGAGTCGTCGGACCAATTCGAGCATCCAATGAAAGAGGCTTTTCCATTGCTTGGGCCCTTTAAAATTGCACGCGTTCAATAATTATGTGTGAGGGACGAGAAAGAACACAGAACCTGTCTAAATTTGCGTAAAACTGCTTCACCATTGCACACCGCATTCGAGTTTACAAAGGTGGCCTTGCACCGGATAGAGGTTACCGAGCGGAAGAATCTAGCGGAGAAAAAATTAGTATGGCTACTGTATGGAATATAGAGGCTTACGAAGACGCAACAGCAGCTAGACTCTTTGCCTCAGATGATTTCGCAGCCATCATCGGATCCGAAATGAGTGTGTGAGGTTCATCATCAGCCTCCCAACGCTCACAGTCGTCGAGGAAATCATCGGCAGCAAACGAGCATATATAACAGCCATTGCACTTAAGGTTGGAGCGCCTACACGGAACAGACTCCCCTTCATCAAGGATGAGGATATGCGCAAGGCTCTTGGGAACCTTCCTTCCCGTAGGTCCAGTAAATGCGTCCTGGCACTAAAGACTGTCGGTAAGTAATAGCAAGAACAGAGACACCATCGAAAGCGTACCTCCTTCTTAATCAAACCATCGACTGTGAGAGCTTTTCGTTTACCCTTAGCGCGAAGGAGTTCCGGGCGATTGGAATAATCTATGATGTAGGCCACACGATCGTCTACAGAGGGCACATCATATGATTCCAACGCATC